TGACCCGCCCGCTGCTTCCCTCAGCAGTGTACTTCCTCAGACCTGCTCTGCTCCTCACTCTGTCTCTGGTGAATCCTCTCACTGCCCCTGCATCTCTGGCCTGTACTCCAGTTCTGAAGGCATCAAGAAATAAATCTTAAACAAAAACATTTAAAAACTGAAAACATTATATAAAATTCTAGTATTTGGGCATTCTGGAAATAAGAAGCCAGATGACAGAAAAGGCAAGATTTATGGTAGGCCCTTGCTAAGTTCCAAGGGCCAAAAGTAATAATTTAACAAAAATTAACAAAATCCTGACTGTAGAGTTCTAGTAATATGATATGTAGAAACAAAAGGGCTCTTTCTTGTCTGTTAGAGATCATAGGTTTGAACATTATGGTTCCACACAAATTTGAAAAGTTTGAGAACACACGTGAGAGTTTAAATTTCTAGACTTCCCATGTTCAAAAACAATAAGAAAAGTGAAGATACCAATAAAATACATTGAAGTGCTCCCATTTTCAAACTAAGACTGAGAGAAAAGGGTTTAAAACTAGAACCATAGCAGTAAAATGAAATAAAGTTGGAGTCCGTTTGTCTAACTCTACTAGTAAATTCTAAAATCCAGATCTATACAGTTTTCAAGTTATGTTTTTCCCAATTAAATAAGACTGAAACCATGAATCTGAAGAAAAGTGCTTTCTGTTGTGTAGCTATCTAAAGAAATCTGGCATCTTTGTGTATTAAAACCACTGTTTGCGGCGGGAAGAGAACACCGGACTATGGTGATGGCATACAGGAGAAGCGGTGGTGGGAAGTCCATGGGGATTACAACCGAGACTTAAAAATGTACAAAATGAAGATTGATGTAAAATATGTATTTCTATTTTAAAAAAAAATTGAAAATACAACCATTGTTTAAGAAAACTGACTTGCTGTGGAAGAAGCCAAAGTTTTTCAAATAGCATAAACACGAAAGTCTTTCCTCCCACTACCTCCAAAGGCAATCTCTGGACAGTCACATCAGAAAATTACAAGCACAGATTGAGAGGCTGATTAATCATTCAGGAAATCCTAAAAGGTTGAATGAACAATTGGTATTAGGTATGAGTCCACGAGCTTTTAAGTGATGTGTACGTGCCATTTCCTCATCCATAAAAGGAGAATAACATTTGTGCTATTTCACATCACAAGGCTATTTTATCAGCCAAA